TAAGTTCATTAGAGGCTTCAGATTTTGAGGAAGCCAAGCCTTATATAGCCCGGAACCAGTGGAGGGTGACAGGGGCAGTACCCCACCAACCTCAATCTGCCCACAGCCTCCCCCTGTCTGCCTTCTTACTTACGAGCAGTGGGGGCTGGGGATGACAGCTCTGCCTGTCACTGGCTCCAGCTCCACCTACATTTGGTCTCTCTGCATTCTGTCTATATACAAAGGGCAACAGTCACCACGGCCAGGAACTGAGAACCACAACATATAAGCAGGTGGAGAACACTTCAAATCACACAGTAAAGAAGATGCCACATCAAGGCTGATTGCATGTGGATTTGTGGAGAATGCAATTGTTCATGTGGCAAGCCGAATTCATGTGCCCAGGTGGACTGCTCATCAAGAGGAGAAAGCCTACTGACGATGGGGTACAATTCGCTACAATGTTTTTGTTTGTGTTTGTTTTTGCTTAGCTGTAAAATGTCAAGAAATTGTCTGAAAGCACTAGATAATTAATGGCATGGTGACAATGTATTTTTATTTGAGGGATGTAACAAGTGTACGTTTTTGGGATCCGTGATGAGATCTCCCAATATTTTAACTGTAAAGTAGCTGTGGGGAGTGGAGCTCCAATTTTGATCAGAGCAGCAGCACTGGGCAAGGGGAATTTAATCTTTTCACTCTCCACTGGTTTCCCAATTTAAATTACCCCCAAGCTGTTCTTATGCCTTCTCTGGGAAGAAGGCATACAGGTATTACGTGTGTCTGGAGGGAGAGAGAGAGAATGACAGATGATAGATAGATAGATGGTAGATAGATTAGATCCTTTTTCATTAGTGCATTTGACATGCATGGTTCTTTTTCTTTGAAACTCATAATTAACAGATATATAATTGCATATGGTATGCGACGCAGGCAAGGGATTGCAACGTCCTAAATGTTACACCTGGAAAACTAAAGTGAGCCAAGGGCCTAGCAGGAAGACTCAACCCGCTTTTCAGCAATGGAACTACAGCTGTGGAGATGTATGATATAATGAACTGTTACCTACTGTGAACCTTTTTGCAGTTATGGAACATAGCTCCGAGGCCGTTTCCACTTACCATTGACTCGCTCAAATGCCGCGTTTTAATACACCAGCCCCTTTTTCAAAGGAAAATGCTATACAAATGAGAAACAGGTAGGAAGCATCTTTTTGTAGGAAGTCAGTGGAATTTGCCCTGCAGGCTGGTGTGGCCATGCCAAATATATGGGATAGATATTTGAATCTAATGCTAGTATTCTTCAGATTGTAGACCCATTGAAATGAATGGGTAGAGGTAACTTAGATCCATTAATTTCAATGCCCCTAGTTGGAGACAATCCATGGAAGACACACATAAATGCAGGCATTTGGAGTTGTAGCATCAAGGACTGACTCTCTCATATTTCAATGTGGCAACCCAGTTATTCTATATTTTCAAGGATACTCTTGATTAGAAGAGGGTAAAACACTGACAGTACATAATTTAAATGCAAGGGATGTGCTCTGTGTCTTTATTTTTTTTAAAGGAGAAAAAAATACAAGTTATATAGCATGTAAGTGAGCTGAGAATAGTCCAAAGTGGCACTATTATATCTTTTAGGGGTTTTGAGCTCAATAAAACAGATGTCCTGTATTTACAAAATTGCTTTTAAAATGTTGTTTATGAGGAAAGGGGAAAAAATATGCAAACAGTTTAACATTTTGCCCCCTGGCATTTTTGAAGTACATTTCTACAGCAACACATATTATCTTGTTCACATGGATGAGCCAGCAAAACCAAACTAATATCTGTAACTTACTACCTTGGGGTATGTTTTTTCCTCTCTCTTTTTTTTAACTGCTCCCTGACAATAATAAGGATTTAATTTAACAAGTCAAGGGGCAGATACAAAGCTTCAAAACATTTTTCATTGCTCTTGAAATGACAGGGTATAAGACAGATGGCCATATCTTTTCAAGGTGGGTCATCCCCCACATCCCACGGTGTCATACTTCTACTTAACCACAACTATAAAATGCTTCACTCCTGCCTTTGCTTTTGAGTTTCCAAATTTGGAGGTCAACAAGTAAGTTTGGCATTGCATAATTCAGGAAGGGATTGATTCTATCTCACTCTTCTTCTTCTGGGACCTGATTTTAGAGTAGTGCAAATTCAGCACTGGTCATGACCCAACACTTCTGTTTTACACATAAGAGTTTCCATGGGGCTCCAAATACAAGTACCATTCCTTTCTAGAAATGGAGGAGAGCTCTCCACATTTACCACTGAGGAATCAGTGCACACAAGAATCTTGTAAAGCTTTCCATCATACCTACACTCTGCACGAAGATTACCGTAATACAGTTCTGGATTAGAATATGTCAAATTATACAGGGTTTTTATTTTTTTAAAAAATGATCAAAACTAAACATTTGGGATATAAACAAGTAGCAAAAACAGGACACATGCTTTCAGAGATTTTCCTTCAATCATAACAGTTAGGGGAAATTATGAAGTGGTGCCTAAAAGGCCATATTCCGTAAATCCAAATTCTAATTCTCACCATAATCAGATTGAGTTCATCACACTCAAACCCAATGAAATCTGGTTTCAATTTCTGCCTGCTCAGCAATTCCCCTTCCTATGGTGCATGCCCCTCTAAAAGTGAAGTGCCAGGGGTGGCCCAAAATGTTTTGGCACCTGGCATGAAACACCCCATACCACCCCCACAATGGGCCATGTACTTTCTGAAACTCCCTTCCTGGCAGTTGGTGAGGCTTTGTGCGGGATCCTCCTTTCCCTTGGAAAAGCTCACCATTCTGTCCAGTGGGGAGAATTTCCCTTTTGGGTGGTGAAACACCTCCCATCTTGCCAACTCAGTGAGAGGAAAGGAATTCTGCAGAGCTTTGCTGCCAGTCCCTTTCCACCCCCAGGAGTGGGTGAGATTAGCCACAAAGCTGGGTGGCAGAATACTGTGCTGCTGTGCCACCCCCCTTTCCTGCGTTGTTGTGGCAGTATAGTGGACAGGGCACCCGCAGGGCTGCTACCTCTTCCGTTTCCCCCTCCTGAGGCAGCTTCTTCAATTTGCCTTGGGGTGGGCTGGTTCTGTGTAGTGCCAACATCGAAAGACCTCTCCAAGCATTTACATGAACACAAGAAGGCTCAAACTATGCATAAGGGGTGGGACACCTGGATGTATATAGAACCATCCCATGATCTTGGTTCCTATGATCAGAGTTGCTGATAAAAGGGAGGAGCCTAACCACCTTCAGCTGAACACAGTAATTTATTTAGTCATTCATTTATATAAAAGTTTTGTATTCATCTACCTTGGGAGGGGGGTGTCACATTCAAATAACAACAGAACAAAGGTATACAATAAAATCAGCCAATCAATTGAAAAGAAACCAAAACCACTTCAGTTCTGCATCTCTTAGTCTGCTTCCTACAGTAGGTTAGAATCTCTCTGCAGACCTTCATGCTCAATGTGCAATGTTCAGGAAAGTAAGGTCCTGGGTTGCATGAACATTGGGCTAGCATCCATGCACTCATGTGCACCCTACACAGTTTGAGTGCTCGGGTGCTCACCCAAATGCCTGAAGATGAGCTATGATTCTGTTAATTCAGACATCCTACATAGTCATTTGCTACAATGGTTTAGTGTGGTGTTTGAATTAATCTGTTGTGATCAATATCTGCTGACAGTAGCCTTGTGCGTGACCACGGGATTCCTGTATCTTCAATGATGAGGCTCGGTCAAACCATTGCAAGTGCTCAGAAGTTGAGGGTACAATATAAGTGCTGGTACTCATACATAGAAATGCGCTCCTTCGGCAAACAGGCATTAAGGCAAAAAGAGGCAGTAGCTGCCCTTTATCCCAAAATAAAATGAAGAGAGGTGCTGACTCTACTTCTTTAGTCATCTTCCCTAAGAGAGTCTCCAGAACAGGAGAGACTGCCGTGTTCGCTAAAATATCTTTTGATTGGAAAACTCCTTGTGGCACTTCGATTATACAAGGAACTCAAAGCATTAAAGAGATGCAACATCACAAATAGGTATTTGTAAGGGTTTGTCAACTCCAATGAAGCGATCTGTTTGTTGACTTCCTTTTCCATGCACATCTGCAACTGCTCGCTACGTGGGGGCGGAGAGGACGATGCCATTAAAACAAAAGGGGGACCTTAATGTGACCTTTCCAGCAAGGGATAAAACGTATTGATTGGTGGCTGCTGAAGGACATCATTAAATTCTCTGTGTTTGATTTCATTTTTTCTCCTCTCCCTTCTCCCCTTTTCTTTCTTTTATTTATTATTTGGTTGCCTGGCAGGCATATCAGTACTGACTAACCCTGCCAGTTCAACTATTAAAGAATTTATCTCTCGGAGGAGGCCTGATGTAAACATGATAATCTGTTTGGCGGCCCTTATGATGGAGTATGAATAAAACATATGACAACACAGTTTGAGCACAGGAGCTTACTATCTGTTACAAAGCAGAATGTCTGGATGCTCCTTGAAGGCCTTACATGGTTAATCCCAGAGGCCTAATCCTTTGTCCTTCATATCAGTTCACCTACAAGGGGAGTGGTTAATTCAACCCCGCCACCACTTTTACTTCTCTTCAATTAAATGATAACGTCCTGTTCAAGAGCAGCTAATGGGATAAGCTAAGAGGAATTGGGCCTGAAAATACTTTTCTCTTTCTATTTTCTCTTTCTTCTGTTTTGTGGTTGGAAATAAGAGTATTTCTCTTAGGACTCGGTGGGTACATAAGCCAAAGAATAACTTTGTTTGCAGAGAATCAAGCTTGTCTCTTTAGTTCATTTCCATTTTCCATCTGTAATTTGATTGTGAGACATGTATTAACTAGAATGTATCGTCAGTTTAGAACTGGTCTTTTCCACGTTCTGTACTGTATTAAAGAGCTAGTTTAGTGCAGTGGCCAGAAGAATGGTTGGGCGAGGCTGTAATTCACTACTTGCCTTTTTTGCTTTACAGTGGTAAATTTTGAAGTACAGGAGTTCATCATGACAGGCCTCACAGCTGTGCCCCCAAGGAGAATCCAAAAATTCAGGTAGCTGTTTAAAAATATATAGATACTACAAGAATGAAGGTTAAACTTGTAAAACATGCTGAGCTTTAATAAAAGCTCTTCGACCAGCAGAAATGCAGTCTTAACTAGAAATGAAAGCTATCTGCAAAAAAAGTGGTACCATTTAATTTGCTAGCATGAAAGAGGCACCCCACTGAAGAAAGGAAAAATGTTTACAGCATCTGCTTAATTTGACTTCCTCCATGCTATTCTTTGGCAATCAATAGAACCAGAATGCCTCCTTATAAGTTGCGTAAGCAAAAAGAATCCCCCTTAAGCAGATGACATCATTGCTCCTGCTCTGAAAAATAGTCCTGGAGCTGCTCCCTCTTGTGCTGTCCTTCTGCACCCAAGCCACAAAGTACACTTTGGCTAGGTACACATTAGCGGCTTAAAACACAGCAGCAGGGTCATTCTCTCATCCCACCACACAAGTTTCAATCACATTGCATGGGTCAGGGATGTCATCACCCAATGTACATTACATTGTTTGTTTTCCCTGTGTCTTCATCGGCGCATGTCACAGATGTACACATCTCACATTGACTGCAAAGTGATTGTGGTTTATGTTATTGAATTGGATGGACTCCAGTTCGATGGAAAACAGGTCAAACTGCCGCATTTCTCAAGAAACTACAGGCTAGATAGAGGTTGTGGCTAATGCCATGCATGCATGGCTTTGAAACACCAGCAGTGGGAGCTCACTGGGGCAGTGCATACACAGCCTTAGTCCAGCCCATGGGTAGGGCAAACTAAGGCCTGGGGGCTGGATCTGGCCCAATCGCCTTCTAAATCTGGCCCGCAGACAGTCTGGGAATCAGCATGTTTTTACATGAGTAGAATGCATCTCTGGGTTATTTGTGGGGCCTGCTTGGTGTTTTTACATGAGTAGAATGTGTGCTTTTTAAAAAAATGCATCTCTGGGTTATTTGTGAGGCATAGGAATTCGTTCATTTCCCCCCCCCCCAAGAAAAAAAAATAGTCCAGCCCCCCACAATATCTGAGGGACAGTGGACCGGCCCCCTGCTGAAAAAATTGACTGACCCCTGGTCCAGCCACTATCCTCTCCACCTCTGCCCCCACGTGCAATATAAAGAAACTTCTGACCAGGGTGGTTGTGACATTCCTTGAAACTGGTGTATGAAACTGGTGCAGCAGCAGTGACTAGGAGATTGAGCTAGGAATTAGGAATTCTCTCATTCAAATCACGGTTTTGCCATAAACTCAGTTGGAAATAAGGTCACGTGTTTGAAGCATTCTGGACAAAGGTATGAACCTCGAATCCTGACTGCGTTCACGTGTAATGCTCTTTTGGACTACATAATCGTTCTAAGCATCAGTTTATATGTTGTATCACGTTTGGAAAAAGGTGTTGAATCACTTCCAAGGCTGAAAATCATGTGGATCTCTACTGCGGCTGTGTTTTTAAATCACCTTATCCTATATAAATTGTGTGAATCTACCCACAAATAGAAATATTCTGCAGCTGTAAAATGAGCACGTGGAACATTTGAGTTGCCACCCTTTGTTTATTTGATAAGCCTGAAGGTTCTGTAACTAAATATATTGGTTTGCTTATGCAGAATTTTAATGTTAGGATCCTGCTTTATGCAAGTGAACTTTTCCCCTCAATTAGCTTTAATTCTTAAGACATAAGAAATCAGATCCAGGACTACAACAAACTGAGCAGAAATCAGAGTCTTGGCAGGCCCATGCGGTCAAACCTGTTCCTGGTTCAGGTAGATAAACGAGCATGGAATTGTTTAATGCAGCCTTTTCGGTATAACAAGAAAACTATTGTCTTTATATTTTGAGTTTGTTTTTAAAAGCCTGGCTGTTTAAAAATAAAAATGCTTATAGCACATTTTTTTCCCTGGGAAATCTCTCCCTTTATGTACCAGCTTTGGCCATTAATCCTCTAATTATGTTCCTGCATAGATATAATTTTTGATCTTGGGCACAAGGAACCGTAAAAATAAAAGTTTTTCTATAAAGGCTGCTTTATACAAGCACCCAACAGCTGCTATTGGTCAAACAACTTTCTAGGGACTGTCTCTCCTCCATCAACAGCTCTTGTATAAGCCACAAATGCTACATTGTACAGAACCGATTCTTGTTCCACAGTGGCTACGTGATTTCTTGCCGCTCTTAATCAGAGGCCTTTATTACATGCTAAATATGGCCACAATTCTGCTGCACACAGTTCCCAACATGCAAATTCCAACGAAATTAATGCATGCTATATTCATGCAGCCAGGGTTGCAGCCTGTGTTTTATCAGAAGGCAATATTTTTCATATAGACAAAGGTCTTGAAATGTGCCATTTTAAAATCAGGGATTCACATTTCCCCATCTAACTACCATAGTTGGGGGGGGGTGGGCTCAGTGCTATAGGCACGCCTTAATGAATCTCAGGTTTCAGCAATATGGGGCTTTCTGTGTTGAAACAATAGGGGTGTACATGTGCCTGTGTAAGCAGTAGTTGACCTCTACAAATCAAGTGTGTAAACTTTCATACAAAAACATGTATGTGTTATGGACAGCTTGTACCTGTGTTCACTGTAAGGTGTGAGCATCCAGGGTGACCAAACCTGTATTCATTATTTGTACATTTTTAAAAAATCTCACTGGAAGCATAGTAAGTGTGCAGATAAAAGCAGATTGCCCCATTTAACCATCTGTTCAGCATACACTATATAATCCATCCTGGATGAGGTCAGCCATTTCATGACTGGTCAAAGGTGTACAGTGAAGTCTGAAACGGCTACCTGTCTATAGCACACAGGCATAATTATTATTATTATATAATAATAATAATAATAATATGCAGAGAGTATATGAGTTATCTTAATTATCCTTGCGGTCTTGTATAGGTCCATGGTATTAAAAAAAGGATATTCCCCAACACACACACACGCAAGTCAAAGCCGTCATTATCCAAATTGTGAAATGTAATAACTGGATATCTGGGGCTGGTAACATTTGCCCTTGTTCACTTCCTGAGGATTTTAAATTTTTTTAAGCTGTTGTGCACAGCTACAGAAATACCTTTGCATGTGCCCAGAATAGAAAAAAGTTTTAATGGAAGGTAGGGAAGGAGAGATTTGGAAGAGTGGAAAAAAGCACAGCCCAGATACTTTCTGTCAAGCTCTGCCTACAGGTGCAGATGGAAAGTAGTGAAACCACAATGAATATTATGACTGGAAGATAATGGGAATGCATGTAAATCACCTTCTGACAGTAGTTTAGAATTATTAAATTAATTGTAGTAGTAGTTGTTGTTGTAGTAATGTAAAAATATGAATATTTCAGTAACTTTGCTTCAGACTGTGATTGACCTCAGAGGCTTAGGATTTGAGCCACATAGGATTTGAACTGATCTCTGACCCCCTTCCTCCTTTATGTTAATCTGCAGAAAGCAGGGGGTGGGTCAAAATCTGGCTCATAATATAAACTTCATGACTTAGGACCTCAGAGGGGAATGTAATAAAACCTCAAGTATTCACCGACTTATTGACTGCCAGTTCTTTTCATTTATTTCTTTTTCTCCTCCTGCTTTTTTTGGTTTTTGTTTAAGAACTTGTGTGGTCTCTTTCAGGTTGCGTTTGGTGGGGGGGGAATCAGTATATTTTGTCAACAGGATAAATTTATTCTCTTTGTTTCTTAGTTTCAGTCAAAATGTGACTGCCCCTGACTCACACATTCAGATGTCAGGAGAGTTCCAGTGATAGTCCCTCTCCACCCTTTACATCTGGGCACTCAAGTTTCATATTTTGCTTTGCTTCCCGTGAAGAAACGTATTTATTGTTTATTCATTTTCCACCTTCATGGATGTTGGGAGAGCTTTGCAGTTCAGCTGCCAAAAGTGTACGTCGTTAGCCTGCTTTATTTAAAGGTAACTTGGCTGTCTGGGTAGCACTAGCTGTAGTGGTTCATGAATCAAACATGCAGCACCATGTGACCTCACGAGGCGGTCTAGCATATGCTACTTCCTCTTAACACACCGCTTCTTTACGTGACAAAAATTGCCCCCACAAGTTGTGGTGTTTGCCACCAACCTGAACAGCTTTAGAAGAGGATTCAACAAATTCATGGAGGATAGGAATACCAATGGCCATTGGTCATGATGGCTATGTTCTACTTCCACTCTTGGATGTAGTATGCTTCTGTATTCCAGTTGCTGGTGGGAAGAGGGCAACTGCACTCAGGTCCTGGGTTCTGGGCTTCTCATAGGCATCTGGTTGGCTGCTGTTAGAACAGGATGCTGAACCAGATGGGCCTTTGGTATGATCTAAGGTAAAGGGGAAAGGGAACCCTGACCATTAGGTCCAGTCGTGACTGACTCTGGGGTTGTGCGCTCATCTCGCTCTATAGGCCAAGGGAGCCAGTGTTTGTCCGCAGACAGCTTCCAGGTCATGTGGCCAGCATGTGGTGAACCAGAGCAGTGCACGGAAATGCTGTTTACCTTCTCGCCGGAGCGGTCCCGATTTATCTACTTGCAGATGACGTGCTTTTGAACTGCTAGGTTGGCAGGAGCAGGGACCGAGCAACGGGAGCTCACCCCGTCATGGGGATTCGAACCGCCGACCTTTTGATCGGCAAGTCCTAGGCTCTATGGTTTAACCCACAGTGCCACCCGCGTCCCTTTTTTTGGTATGATCTAACAGGACTCTTAAGTCCCTCCCACGCTTTCTTCCTCTATTGCTAGCTCAAACCCAATCCAGCATTCCCCTGAATTTTTATCAGAAATTGTTGGGGCTTTCAATGCAACTATAAGCTTCATTTACTCCTACTGCTACTACTACTACCACTACTACTACTAGAAAGCGCAGCTAACCAGGGTAGTGACAGACCTCTAAGTGTCCCTATTTTCCAGGGACAGTCCCAGATTTATAGAAGTCATCCTGGTTTCTAATTTGATCCCGGAATGTCCCGTTTTTCACTAGGACGTCCCTATTTTCATCAGAGGAGCGTTGGAGGAA